GTAATCATCTGTTTTATAGCCTTCATTTTTACTTACTATTTCCTGAACATTTTTCAGACTGTTAATGTTATTTCTACAGGTCATTGTTTTAAATGGCTACATAAACTTTGTTCCAATGGACATGTGTACCAGACAATATTTAACCAATCACTTTGTTCGATATTTTTGTTACTTCCTTTTTTTTTTTTTTTTTAACCCTAGGCACATATCCTTGTATATAAAACTTTATCAGAATTTTTAATTATTTCATTAGGATACATTTCTAGAAATGGAAATAGTGGTCCAAAGGGTACATAAATTTTTTAGGTTTTTTATATCAATTACCAATTTGTATTCCCACCAAAAGTACCCCTTTTCCTAGACTGTTTGCTAACAGCTTCTCATTTAGTTCTTAGGCCATGATTTATTTCCTCATGATTCTCAAAGGTTACTGTTGTTGGATCCCTACTACATGTAATGTGTGGCACTGTGGGTTAATGTGCTGGACTACAAAGTGGGTTTGAATCGGAAGGTCGGTTCAAGCTCACCAGTCACTCCTCGGGTCAGAACTAACTTGGCAGCATTTGAGGACAATGACTACTTGAAATAGGGTCCTGATTGTTGTGTTATAGGATAAGCACTAGACTGCTTACAACAGGGTCAGTGGATCAAGCCCACCAGCCATTCTCAGAAACACCATACAGGGTCACTAGGAAGTAGAATTGACTCAGTAGCCCTTAACAACAACTCTACTAGTGAATACAGTAGAGGATGTAAACCTCTACTGCTGACCATTTCCTTCTGGTCTGGGGCTCCTCCCACTCTGCATCCTTTAGAATCCTGAGAGAAAACAGTTGCCCTTCCCCAGCTAGGCGTCATGAAGAAGTTAGTAGGCTGTTGGGGTGAGCCACCGGACTTTGCAAGAAGTCTTGCACCTTTGGATCATGTAAATAAAATAATGTGTAGCACTGCTTTTTGATGCATAGCACGTTTGTATATTTGACTTATCTGCCAGGTGTTTAACTCAACTTTACAAAGGTTTATTTAAGAGCATGCAGTCAATTCAAGGCTCTAGGACAGAGAACCCCAGACCAAATCCCATAAGCCATGGCAAAATGTAATGAATGTAATAAAAGAGGAGCACATCATATCTGATGACTTGTTGAGCATCTCCTCAACTCCAAACACCTTACCTACTGGAGGTGTTGTTAATGTGGTAAAAATGCCAGGAATCGTATAGTTCTAGATTGCTCGCTCCCCTTTATAGCTGGGGTAAATTATTCTACCTAAGCCCTGTTTTCCTACTTGTACCCAAACCAATTCCAACTCATAGCAACCCTATTTTCTCCATTTATAAAAGGAGGCTAATCATCTCTAGCTTGTGGTTATTGTGGAACCTAAGTATGTAACGAAGGTTGGGGCCTGAGAAACTCCCTGCCATAGACTAGGTGGTCAAAACAGTGAAGCTCTTCTTGTTAGATCGTGTTCTCTCTGTTTGCAGAAGATACAGGTCTGGTATTCACTTTGCACAGTACTATAACATTTGTCAGAACTTCCTCACATCTCATCGAATCTTATCCTCTCAGTAGCTTTGCAGGTGGTGGTCTCTCCATTGTTTAAAAAAGAAAAAGATACAGAGAAGTTGCATGAATTGGAAAAGTCAGACTGCTGGTTAATGGAAAATCCCAAACTAGAAGACAGTATTTTCAGTATTTTTACTTATAAGCTCAAGCTAAGACCTTTTCCCCAAAACTACCACATGCATCTTCCTTTTTTTTTTTTTAAATAGTTATCATCTTATGGGGAGTCCTGTCGTAGCACAGTAGGATAAACACTGCACTGCTAACGTTTCTTGGAAACTCTATGGGGTCGTAAAAAGTCGGAGCCGACTTGATGGCACTTAGCAACAATATCATCATCTATGAAGCCCTGATGCTCTATGGGTTAAACATTGATCGGCTAACCATAAGGTGGGCGATTCAAACCTATCAGCCACTCTGCAGGAGAGATATGAAAGTTGAGGATGTTTGCTTCCACAAAGATTTACAGTCTCTGAAACCCTCAGCAGCAGTTCTACTTTGTCCTATCTAGGGTCGCTATGAATCTAAATCTACTTGATGGCTGTGAGGTGTTTTTGTTTTTTTATCACAATTTTCAGTCAATTAATAGTACTATTTTCTTACCATGTTATCCTACAATTTCACTTCATTTATTTTTAGACACACACACAATTTTCCCTGAAATGCCAGGTTTATCCAACCTCTTGTGTCTTTCCCAATTCCCACCTAGATCCAAAAGGCCCTTATCCCTAGATTTCTGATGCAGAAGGAGGCCCTTCCCCTCTTTATTGCATTTGACTTGAGCACATTAGAGCAGCCTCTTCCCTAAAGAGCCATTTCTAATTGGATAATAGTCATATTTGAATAATAGTCGTATTTACTGGTCTTCTTTGTTAGTTGTTGTTGTTGTTAAGTGATGTCAAGTTGCTTCTGACCCATAGCGACCCTGCATAGGGTTTCCAAGGAACAGCTGGTGAGCTTGAACTGCCGACCTTGCAGTTCAAACCCATTTTGCAGTCCAGCACACTAACCCACAACAACACACCAGAAGCGTTTCCCATCATTAATCTAACTTGGGAGTCCTGGTGTGGCTCTGTAGGATAATGCACTGGACTGGACCGAAAGGTCTGTTTATAAGGTCAGAGGTTCAAATTCCCCAACTGCTCCTTGGGAACCGTATGGTAGTGTGCCATGGAGTCAGTTCCAACTCATAACGACCCTGTATAGGGTTCCCGAGGCTATAAATCTTTATGGGAGCAGAAAGCCTCGTCTTTCTCCTGCGTAATGGCTGGTAGTTTTGAACTGCTGACCTTGAGGTTCACAGCTCAACTCATAACCACTACACTATGAGAGCTCCTTCTGAAACCCTAAGCAGGTGTCATTGTTAAGTGCCGTGGATTTGCTATTTCAACTCATCGTGACCCTGTATAAGGTTTCCAAGGCTTTTAAATTTTTTGCAAGAACAGAAGAAGCCTTATCTTTTTCCTGTGGAGTGGCTAGTGGGCTTGAGTCACTGACCTTGTGGTTCGTGGTCCAGTGCTTACCCCATAAAGCAGATGTTGCTGTTGTTGTTAAGTGCCATCGAGTCAGTTCTGACCCATAGTGACCCTGGGTAGAGTTTCCAAGGAGCAGCTGGTGGACTTGAACCACCAACCTTGTGGTTCAAACCGACTTTGCAATCCAGCGCATTAACCTATAGCACCACAAAATTGGTTGGTGGTTATGTACCGTGGAGTCGGTTCTGACCACTGGTAGTTTCGAACAGCTGACCTTGAGATTAGCAGCCCAACTTGTAACCACTATGCTACCAGAGGTCTCAGAAAACAGATACAAACTTTTAATTCACTATGAGCATTTCTATGACTATTCTCTTTATTATATACAAACATATAAGTCTACACACAAATACATCTTTTATAAGACAGTTTCCCTACCAAGTATGAAGAGCAGCAGAAATGGGAAACTGAGGCTCTGAGGTGTTAAATATATTTCTTCCTTAATAAAGTTGTTGTTTAATAAGGGACCACTTTCTTCAATGCCTAGCCATTATTCAACCGAAAAGTCAAGATCCACAGTTGTCAAGTCTTTTATGTGCTAAACTTAGTGAGTATTCAAAGTGTGCATTTAAAAGACCCAAATCTGTATTGGTTTTTACATTGAAAAGAATTATTTATTATTTCATTCTGAGTTATTTTCGCTTGGTGAAAAATGATTATTTAAATGTTATTTATTCTCTACCTTGTTCCAATGAGGATTTAAGCAGCTTTCAAACCTTTAATAAAACATGTGGTCCTTATTGAATATGCAGGCACAATCCACATTTCAAATAACCCATGTGGATCAGTCAGTAGCCACTTTTAGCAAAGCAACCACTACCTGCTTTTACACATTGGAGTTGCGTTTCTCTAAAACTTTATTCTTCAGAAGAGCAATTTAAATGTAAATTTCTGGATTTCAAATTACACCTTTGGTTCCCTAAATTTTCCCCAAATCATAAAGTCATAACTCAGCCTTCGCTTTGTTCTCTGCAAGGAAGACCCTGGGGTGAGGGGTGGGGTAGGGAAAGGGGAGGGGGAGGTTGGAGAAAAAAGGAGTACACACAGACTGTTTTCACAAACAGTAGCATCATCAGTAAACAAATGTGGTGAAAATGTCCGCACTCACAAATAATCAAAGTAATGCAAATTAAAACAACAATGAGGTCTAATTTTTCACCTATTAAATTAGCGATACATATTTAAAACTTTAAGACTAACAAGAGTACCGTGAAACTGATAACGCATCCATTGCTGATGGTTGGTGTAAATTGGAAAGTAATTTGGTAGGATGAATTAAAAGCCTTAAAAATGTTTATATCTCTTGACCTAGTAATTTTATTCCTTGGGATTTCCATAAAAGAAATAATTCAAAAGAAAGAAAATCTGCAATATCTATGACTCTGGTGCTTATAATGCAAAAAAAAGAGCAGCTTAAATGTCCAATAGTAGTAGAATGGTGTGTTAAATTATGGTATGTCCAGTTGAGGAAATATGCATCCATTAAAGTTATTATTATAATGACTAAGCAGCATGGAAATGTTTATAATGTAGTTGGGAAAAGCACGATATAAAATTATACATGAGCTGTGATTACAAGTAATTTTTAAATGTCTGCATGTAGGCAGAAGTGAATATGTAGAAATGAAAATAGCTGTGTAAGGTAGTAAAATGAGGGATCATTTTTTTCCCCTATCATGAATTATTGTTATATTGCCCTTATAATTTAATGTGCATGGTTTTAATGTGTAACTTAATGTATAAAGACTTCTCTAGTTCTTAAAAGTCAGAGAACCAACTTAGCTTTCCTGTCAGAAGGATGGACTCTGAATATTGAATGAGCTCCATGGTCTCTTAGTTCTAGGTTCTGGGGTGAACTTGTGCTGTGACCCCCAGCACCAACCTGTCATACTGCTTCTCCCCTCAGGACATCGCCGAGAATGGCTGTGCCCCGACAACAGAAGAGCAGTTACCAAAGACTACACCATCCCCACTGGTGGAGGCCAAAGACCCCAAGCTCCGAGAAGACCGGAGGCCAATCACAGTCCACTTCGGACAGGTATGTCTGCTGGCTCTTTTACTAGTCTGTTAGTCAGCAGAAAGAAGAAATAGCACATGTCACAGACAGTTTTTCATTTCAGCTCATTTTGGCAAAGCAACTCCATGGAATTTTCCACCTCTTCCCAATGTTTATTTGGTACAGAACTGTTCTGAAGGTGAATTTTTAAAATGTTGAGGAGACAGCCTGGCTCTGGTGATAAACTAAGCTCAACTACTGAATGAATTCATTAAATGCAGCTGCTGCCTCCCCGACTCCAAGGCATTCCGTTTAGGGTGTCTGTGTTAGCTAAGCATCTCATTAGAACACTTTAGCATCCCAGGCCCTTCTTTGCACCTTCAAATAAAAGGCAACAAGCAAAGTCTTAAAAAAAAAAAAAAAAAATCAATTAGAAGTTCTTTATTAATGTACTTCCTGAAAATCAATATCGTAAGTCGTGCTTCTCAGAGTAAACACCCGCAGTATGATTCTAGGGATTCGATTCTTTAACCAACTATTCTCGTCGACCTGAGCATTTGAAAAATTGTCTATTTGTTTGATTTTTTTTTTTTTCCATTAAGTAAAACATTGTATTCTATACAGAAACTGACAGTTTGATCCATTTCCTATCAGTGGTTATGTTTCTGGTTGAAAAGAGATTGTGTCCCCTCCCTACTTCCTGTGAATTGATGTTTGATTAGCAAAAGTCATCATTTTTGTGATTTATGAGAAATGGCTCTGTGTGAAGAATATTGCTTTATCAAGAATGTGCAAGGTTTTTTATTTCTTAATCACCTTAGTCTTCAGCCATGTGTTAGATGAAGCATGATTAAAATCATCATTATGATTTTATCATTGGATTACTGTTTCTCCACATAAAGGACCTAGAATCGACCTATAATTTGCTCCTGTTTTTAACAGATGTATATCAAGTACTTAATATATACTAGGTATTGCACTGTTTAGAAATGAAGGAAATTAGTGAAATTGTGGCTGTGGATTATTATTGTAAGGGATGAGTTCATTGAAACTTAAAAAAAAAATCAATCTTCTCTAATCAATATTTTCAAATAATATATTCAAACAGTTTTAACTTGAGGAGGTTCATCTCCCTTTTTGAGATTGGGCATTTAAAAGGGATGTTATAAAATTGAAATGTCTTGAAGGAAAGTTGCCCCCACTGCATAGTGTTCATTTGGGCAATTACTATCTTCAGATAACATGGGTATTTTCACCCCTGAAGAGCGGCCTCCTGCCAGCATTCGGGCCCTAGAGGAGAAATATGCACCCCAGTTGCCTGACTGTTTTTGCTGAAAGCTCAGCCCCGGGTTGTCACCAGCATGGCATTCCAGAGCCAGCTTCCTGCTTTCCTTTGTCCTCATTCCTGCACACACTAGCCTTCCCATGAAAAGAGCCCCTCACTGTAGTTTGGAGCCCATTACAGAGAAAGAAGGGGCGGGGGAGAGGGATTTCATGGTGTTAAACATTCCATTTTCGAAACACACAAAAAAAGGAGGCCTTATTTGAAATGGAGAAAGACCTTCTTTCCATTTCAGCAAGAAGTAGAGATGCTTTCATGTCATTCCCAGCTAAATACAGAATAAGTGTGTGTGTGTGCACCCTTGTGTGTGTGTGTGTGTGTGTGTGTGTGCACGCCTGGACGCACAGGGATGGGGGATAAACAATTAAAAAAGACACCCCAAACTCTGTTGAAATAAGAGCTGTCTTTGCCTTCACAGGTCTGTAAACTGGAGAGGATGAAAGTGGCTTTTTTTCCCCGTTTGTCACTTCCCTCACGTGGCTGCCAGCATTATGCAAGTGTACAGGAAGGCAGGATTTTTTTTAATGCATGCATGCGGATTAAGGTCAAGCCCTGAGTATCAGCCATGCAGCGGGCTCTCTTACAGCTGCAGCCGCAGAGCCTACCCACAGCCACGAGATGCCTTAATTGAGACGTGCTGTCAAAGTGACAAACACATTTGCATACAGTCTACACTCTATTTATTTTCTCTGGAAAGGTCTACAGTCTGCTGTTGGTTGAACATTCTTAATCAGTTTGCTGTAAGTGTACTGCCAGCTAGCTCACTTGTGCAGGCCGCTTCTTCATTAGGTGACAGATTAGCTGCAGGGGGGATGGGTGTGGAAAACACAGACCCCTCTCTTTTAACTCTTTCTTCTTTGCCCTTGTGGCAGGTTGTCCTTTAATCCTTCCCAGGCACCTGGTTTCCTTGGCCACTGACTGTAGCAAATAACATTTCTAGCATACCTACTATTGGCAGGCATGAGTTTTAGAGACTTTTTCCCAGAGAGTAATCGGTAGAACGGAGTCCTAGTGTGGCACTGTAGGATAAACACTGGACTGTAAAGTTGATGTGAACTGCAGGGTCGGTGATTCAAACTCACCAGCTGCTCCTTGGAAAACCTATACAGGGGTCACAATGAGTCAGCACCTACTGACAGTACTTAACAGCAACAATTTGTAGAGTACCATTTCCAAACTGTTGGTCTCCTCCTACCAACTGGACTATTTTTTCACTTGATATTTTTCTGTAACTAGACTCAGGCCAGACATCCATACCAACTTTAGCCTCATCTGAAGCAGTGACATGGGTAAAATCACACGTATGATGAACTGGTTCAGTTTTGTTTCTGAGGTCTGTAAACTAAATTGTTTTAAGTGTTCATTCATGTGTCACCTGAACCACTCCTGTAGCCTCAGTGGTGGTGTGCCTTCTCTTCTTGGGAAACATGGAACTGCAGTATTTTGTGTTATCTCTCATATAGCCCTTTGAGGAAGGGATCATGAGCCTCCTTTTATGGAGATAGATAGAGCTGGGACTCAGGAACCATGGCCGTATGTCGTCATCACAAAAACCTAGGTCAGCCTGACTCCAGAGGCCATGTCACCTTGCTAAGCTTGGTCTCCAGAACTCTGATGTACCTGTTAAATCTGGAGTGCCCAACAAAATAAGTACACTAGCCAGACAGCATATGCATCTGTAGACAATTCCTTGCTTTGTGTGTGGGTTTGCATTTCTGGAGTGGATTTCATTCTTTAAGAACATCCAGCATTGGAAAGGGAAAGAGATTGTTGGAACTGCTGCACTAGTCTCAGCCTTGCAAAGCTGGTGCCCATGCAGCCAGTCAGGAGAGCTCCATGTCAACATTTGACAGGGTGGCCAGGTGCTTAACAGCAGAACCCCTCTGCAGAGGGGGCTGGCAAGAGTTATTGAACCAGCGCTGCTACTGCCAGGAGAAAGAGGCCTTTATTGCCCTCACCTCAGTGGAGCTCCCTTCTTCAAGGCTGTGACCATTCTGGCATTTAATTGTGCATCTATTCACCCATGTATTGAGACCCACCATGGTGTTGGAGAAGAATATTAAAAGTACCGTGGACTGCCAGAAGAACAAACCAATCTGTGTTGGAAGAAGTACAGCCAGAGTGCTCCTTAGAAGTCAGGATGGCTAGACTTCTTCTCTCATACTTCAGACGTATTGTCAGGAGGGACCAGTCCCTAGAGAAGGACATCATACTTGGTAAAGTGGAGGGTCAACAAAAAAGAGGAAGACTCCCAATGAGAGGGATTTGGCACAGTGGCAGCAGCAATGAGCTGAAGCTTAACAACAATTGCAAGGATGGCACAGGACTGATCAGATTTCATTCTGTTATGCATTAAGGTCGCAATGAATCAGAACTGACTCAATGGCACATAACAACAACAATGTGTAAGATGAGTAAGTCCACAGTCCTTACCCTTGTGGAACTCCAAGGCATGAGGGAGACAGACCCACAAATGGAAAGGCCCAACCCCAAGTGATAAGACTAAACTATTGAGGGCCCCACGTAATCAACCACTTTGCCCCTAGGAGACCTCTCTACATATTCCAAAACTGGACTCTATAATGAGAAGATATTTTGTTAACAAGCTGAATGCCCTAACAATTCATTTCTTTTTGTGGTGAGCACCTGTTGACAAAATTCCAGAAAAGAACCAAATGGTTTTTAGTTGGTCTCTGCATCTTTCTCATATATGGTTTCTTTGAAGAATTCAGAATATTCCAAATAACCTGAGAATGCCCGTTTCTACCTTGGAAAATGTTTAAATTTGTTGTTGTTGTTAAGTGTCATCGAGTAGGTTCCAACTCATAACAACCCTGTATAAGGTTTCTGAGGAGCAGCTAGTGAGTTTGAACCACTGACCTTGTGGTTCAAACTGAACTTGAGGTTGAGTGCTTATCCTATGGTGCCACACCAGGACTCCACCTTGGAAAATGTTTAGATTTAGAGAGGCTTTAATTAATACCTCTCTTTTTACCCCCTCCCAAGTTCAGAATCAATTGAGAAATGAGGCCCAGGAGACAGGTAAATGGAGATAAAGTTGCCAACTTTTTACTGATAAAGCTGAAAGGAGAACATTGCTGTTAACCTGAGGCCAACTGGGTTTGCAAAAGCTTCACCTCAGAGATAAAAAGATTCAGTTACTCCACACTGGGGAAGTGGAGTGGACAATTGCAGCCTCCCTCGGGCCATAGGCATTAGCTGCCCATAAGCCTGGAGAACTGCACCCTATAAAGAGAGCCATAAGGGATGACTTGGAGCATGCTCAGTTCCTTCTCCCAAACTCTCCTAGGAGGGCACTCCTCTGGAGAGGAATGAATAAGGACTCCAAGCAAAGGATTCCTGTTGCTTTTCTCTCCTGGGATGGGCAGAACCCCGTCTTTCTATAAATATAGAAGGAATGAGGGAACTTTTTCCTCTTGATCAGGGCTTGGGAACCCCCCAACCAGAGCATCTTGCTACTTGACTACTTTCTCTTTCAAGGAATCAGCAGAGGTAGCACCTATAGAAGCTGCTCTGCTCCTTGCACCTAATCAAATGGACAGGCCACTGGGTGCTTTCTCATCTGTACTCATTTCATGGAATCTTTACCATCAGCCATCAAGGAGGTGTTACACCCACTGTACATGGGAGAAGGCATTCCTGGGTAGTGTAAACAGTTAACACACTCAGCTGCTAACTG